TCTGAAAGAAAGACAATGACATTCTCTGTGATCATAAAGTTGTCTATTATTTTTATCTAAAATAAGAACGCCATTTTTACTTCACAAAGTGGGGAAATAGGGGAGAAGCATGCCTTCCTGATGAGTGTGGGAACAGGTAGGAAGACTGGGTGGGCACAAGGAAGGCAGAGGTTTGGGTAGCTGGGGAGCTTCTTCAGTGTGGGCTCTGCAGGGTCAAGGGAGTGGGTCTGGGGGCTTGGTGGAGCCGCCAGCTGCAGGGGAGAGGGCTGACTGGGGGTGTCAGGGGCCCATGTGGGGGTAAGGCAGAGTGAAACAACTGTGGGTTTGAGTCTCAGGAGGTGGAGGTGGCAGGGCTCTGACTCAGGATACAGGGGAGACATCAGGCCGTGGGAGGCCCAGGCCCTGGGGAGTACTGATCTGCTCGGCAGCCCAGGCCACGGCGCTGTGTCCTTGAGGCAGGTAGGCCCGGGTCGGTGTCCTCTGGGGCTCTGCTGCGCCAGGAGCAGAGGCCTCGCCTCGGAGGCCCAGGCCCGGGCACAAAGGAAGGGACCACTCTGTCTCTCCATACAGGCCTGCAGGAGGATGGCCTGGCCCGGGCTCTGCCTTTTTTCTCTTGGCCTGGGAGGTTTGATGCAGACAGGTCCGAGGATTCTCTGTTTTCCTTTCTTGCATCTGCTAGGTGCCCTCAGCGAGGCCTCCTTGGCATAGGGCCCCAGGGGCTCATGGATAGGCAGGCACCTGTAACATTTCCCTCTGCGCTCTGCAGGAGTGAGTTCGATTGTCACCAGGCTCCAGGTGTGTGCAGGGTATTGGGCACTTCACAGCCACTTCATCAAACTCTTGTGATCACTGGAAAAATCCAACCCCATGAAGATCTGGAGGGGTGGCTTGCGGTGAAAGCTCTCCAGGCCTTGGGGACCATCACCCTCCAGACTCTGGCATGGTCCCAGCAGAGTGGCATGGTGGGGGTGGGCTGGCTGCGGACTCAGGAGAGGCTACGGCTCCCATCCAGGCCTGGGCGGCAGTGGGTGGGCCTGGGCCAGGGGGAACCTCGCTTCTGGGCCAGGCGTGGCAGACTGGCCATGGGTGTGCCCAGGTAGCTGCCCATGATCGCAGTGCAGCGGGGTCGGGGCCTCTGAGGGGGAAATTCAGTTTCTGGAGGTTCCCGAAGACTGTTTTGTAGCTAAAGAATCCTCCAACAAACCAGTTCTCTGGGTGAGCTACAGGCAGTAATAAATGAATCACTCCTACGCCTTTACTGGTAAACCAATGCACTGATTAATTAAAAGCCTTTTTTTACACACTAAGCAATAAAGGATTTCACTTATTAGTTGTTATTAGAGGTTAGCACATACGAGTGGTGCTCAACCAGGGGTGAGTTTGCAACAGACACACAGAATGTATGGAGACATTTTTGGTTGTCACTCCTTGGGGAACTACTGGCATCCTGTGGGTAGAGGCCAGGGATACTGCTAAACATCTTAAAATACACAGGACAGCACCCCACAATGTAAATATTGATATCTTTCTTGGGACATCAAATGCATGGAGAATATTCATGGAAAACTGCAACTTAAGAATTGACATCAAGGGTCTCTTTATGGTATCTTTCTATTCAATAACATGGTATGAATTTTATTTGAAAGAGTTTTTTGTGTCCTTTAGGAATGCTTGAGTTTTCTTGGTAACATTTTAAGTTCATTCCAAGGTATTTTAGTTTTTGAGTTTCCATTTAAGTATAGATCTTTCTTCCATTATATCTTCTGTGACTTACATATATCCAAGGAATTGATGTCTATAAATTAATATGGTACTCTGCTAATTGCTTTTCTCATTTCCTTTATCTTTTTTTGGTCTAACTACATTGGCTGCTACCAGAATTTAACCAATTTAAAATTTCATATGCTAATTATAGTGGAGTTAGTAGATATCCTTTCCATACTAGGCATACTATTTACTTCTGAGCCGACATTAATCTACTTTATCAACTTAGGGAATTCTCATTTCAATAAAAAATTTTACAGAAAATACATGATCAATTTTGTCAAATGAGTTTTAGGAATTTATGAAAATGAAATATGAGTCTTCCCTTTAGCTTTGCTGACAGGATGAAGTCTATTAATCATAATATATCATTCCTAATACTGACATTTCAGAAAAAAATCTTATGTGGACAAAGTGTATATTTCTTCTGATGTACTGGTAGATTCTGTTTCTAATAATTAAGCTTTTTTTTTTTCTAAATATTCTTGAGAGATACTGGCCTAGTGTTTACTTTTTGGGAGGTATCCAATCTTTGGTGGGTTTTGGTTTCACTGTTATCTTGGCTTCACAAAAAAGAACTTGGAAGCTTTTGTCCTTGTAAAAAGTTTTTAATTAATTAAATTCCAAAACAAACAAATAAAAGCAATTATTATTACTGTTTAACTCACTTATGAATTAAACAACATTTTGTGTGTTCATGTAGTACCCACCACTTAAACTTAGATTCTAAACGAAAACAAATACCAAGTCAAAATTTTTGACTGGGTAAAATTTCTGTATAGACATTGTCGGGTTCTATCTTTACCTTGAAATTCCACAGCAAGCTTCTCTTAAGAAAATTAAGGGTTTTTGCATAAATACAGAGAACAAACTATGTATGAAGGTTGCCAGAGAGAAGGGGAGTATTGGGGGGAATGGGAAAAATGGGTCAAAGGGAGAGGGAGGTATAGGCTTCTAGTAATGTCATGGGGAAAATTAGTAATTAAGGAAATTAGTTAAGCCATGGGGATTGAAAGGTAAAAAAAAAAAAAAAAAACACAGGGAAAACAGTCAATGGTAGTGTAATAGAGTTGTATGATGACAGATGGTGACTACACTTGTGATGAGCACAGCCTAACATATGGAGTTGTCAAATCACCATGCTGTACACCTGAAACTAATGTAACATTGTGTGTCCACTACAATAATAAAGAAAAGAAAATCAAAGGGTTTTGAACACAGTCATTTCCAGCCTTCATTTTTCCATTCATTTAGTTTTTAAAATTTATTTCTTTAAATTCAAGTTAGTTAACATACAGTGTAGTATTGGTTTCAGGAGTAGAACCAAGTGACTCAGCACTTACGTATGACACCCAGTACTCATCCCAACAAGTGCCCTCCTTAATGCCCATCACCCATTCGGCCCATCCCTCCACCCACCATCCCTCCAGCAACCTCAGTTTGTTCTCTGTCTTTAGAAGTCTCTTATGGTTTGCTCCCTCTCTCTTTTTATCTTATTTCCCCTATGTTCATCTGTTGTGTTTTGTAAATTCCACATAGGAGTGAAATCATATGGTATTTGCCTTTCATTTAAAAGTCTTAATTTTTACAGAGATTCTACACAACGTATATATGATAAAAGACAGGATATAGTCCAAAATGAAAGCAAAAAGCTTATGCTCTTCTACGTTTTAACTCCTCTCTCCAGTTAATTTGAAGTATCTCCAAATTCATGTCCAAACTGAGACAAGATGTTAGCAAATTTTAATAAAAATGTAGAAGCATTACAAGATGTTCAAAACCGATGCCAAAGTTTGAGCCCAGCCTTGTGTTAAAAGGGCAGACTAGCATGTCCTCATACAGAAAGGTGGAAAGAACATACCTGATCGTGATCAACCTCTACGGGCTGCTTCTTAATGATCCAGGTGACAGACTCGGAGAGGGGCGGGGTAGTCAGGGACCCCGAGTAGGTCCAGTAATCTGGGCAGGCGGGCATCAGACAGGAAGGATCAAATGACCCAAATTCCACAAGGGTGTCCTGGCAAAGAGAAGGGGTCACCGAGTCATCATTTTGTGATGAAAACCACTCAGAAATCGGATGATGAGGCGATGATTCAAGGGGATTCTGGGGACCAGCAGTAGTCTAGAGTATCTCTGGGCACCTTCGGACAGAATCACACCCGTGCACTGTTCCTGTAATTAACTATGTATTTCTGATCATCCTCCATGGGAACACAGCCAAAAGCACTTTCCCCCTCCATTGTCGTGAGTTTGCTGCAGGTGCCAGTCTCCTCTGAACTCTTCGGGAGGCGGGAGGCGTCAGGTGGTAGCTGGTGCATGAACAAGGAGGCTTGTCTTTCTCAAGAGAAACGAACAGAATTCTCCTTTCTAAAACACAACGCAAAGTAGAGGGAGCCAGGCTCCTGTATCAAAAGGGGAGAAAGAGACAGGCAAGGAAAAAGAGGGAGAGTGAGAGGGAGGGAGAGGGAAAGAGGCAGTGGGGAGGGACTGAGGTGGGGAGAAGAGGGGGAAACAGGGAAGAGGAGGACTTCCAGGGAACAGCCCCTTTGGGATCCTCAAGAAGCAACAGTTAATCCTGGGGTCTGGACAGAGGCGTCCATGCGGACGGGCCGGACGGAAACGGGTAACTGTTCTTCACAGCAGCCAAGCCAAGCGTCCGTCCCACTCTTCCGTGCTCCCCGCCTGTGGGATGGGAGGTCTAGCCAAGAGGGCTGGTCTGAGTGTTCCCACGGGGACTTCGAAGACGCAGGTGTGCAGGTGTCGGAGCAGAGGAGGGGACGGCACCATGTTCCCGAGTGCCGAGCGCTCAGTGGCATGGCGGCAGAACCAAGGCAGTGGCGAGTTGTGTTCCAGGGCGCCTTGTCAGCGTCTCCACTCGCAGATTAAACATAAAATGTATTTCAAGTGATTTAGGGGGGGAAATTACCTTATGCTTGATTGATGGCAAAGTATCCACCAATTTCTGCAGCTCTTTGTGATGTGTAGCTGAAGAACAATAAATGAGAAAATATTTTTAAAAACTGACATCTCACTCTGGAATTGTTATAGAATGTGAATTTAAATAGGACTCTTGGTGATTACCGAAAAAGAATCTATAGTATTGAAATGAAACTGACAATTTAGGATGTTATAAATATCAGTGAATGAAAGCATACAAAGAACACACGGATAGGCGCAAAACCACAGTCTGCAGGGAAAGGTGCCCCTGCTCCATTAGCCTCAGCCCCCGGAGCCTCACTCATACTTGGCCTACAGGGGCGCTGGTTGCTGAAGCTCTCCAGCCAGGCAGAGTGTAGTAAGGCCCAGCTTTCAGCTCATGCCCACGTCCTCAAGCCTCAGTGTTATAACTATGTGTTCCAGTTTCTGTATTTGATGCTTTGATATGTGAGGACTTGCTGACGCTAAGGGGGCGGCCCCTCCCAGGGTTACCTAATTCCTAGAGAGAACAAACACCCTGGGACAGTGCCTTTCATGAGGAAACAACCACCTCCTTTATAGGGCTCTTACATGCTTGGCCACTATTCCTGTGCCCTCACCACCCCAGGACGAGGCACCAGACAACTAGGGACAGCCTCTATACAATAGAGCCTACTGAAACTATTCGAAGAGGCCAATCTTTCTGTTTATACTACCTTATGCCTTCCTTCCCCCAGAAACCACAATAGGCTATAGCCCAGGATTTCTCCTCTTTCCCTCTGCCTCCTGGTCATCCCTGTGTGCTTCCCTGTGTGGCCCTGCCTTCCTTTTTCAAGAACTGTAGGATAAAATTAGTTTTTCATCTCCCCAGCTCTCAAAATAAATACATCAACTTAAAAAAAAGGGAGGGGGGCACCTGGGTAAACATCTGTCTGATTCTTGATTTTGGCTCAGGTCATGATTTCATGGTTCGTGAGATCGAGGCCAGCGTCGGGTCCTGCACTGACAGTGTAGAACCTGCTTGGGATTCTCTCTCCCCCACAACCTTTCTGGTCCTCCCTGGCTCTCTCTCTCTCTCTCAAAATAGATACATAACTTTAAAAAAAATTCTTCTTTCACGACAGTCATTTAACCACACCTGATTCAAACAAATCCCGGTACCCTGAAAACACTCAGCCTCCAGGGAAGGTCTGCACCTGCTGAAGCTACAGGAGCTGACAGGCACCGCACAGAGTGTGGTCCACAGCTTTGCCGTTGACTTCTCCAGCGGATAACTGCATGACGTGGCAGGAGAGCACTTAACTTCATCGAGCTTCACTTCATCTGAAAAATGGAGAAGACAGCGTTGCCATCAGAGACCTCTGGGGAAGATAAACGATGCACTTAGCTAACATACAGTCACAGAGCACTCATAAATATTAGTTCCTTTCCAGATCATTTCCCATAGCTGTTCGCCTTTATCTTTTTATGCCATTTAGAATATATTAACTCATTTCACATTTTAACCAGTATTTATTTAGTATTATTTACCTTCATCCTTTTACACCAATGCCTAAAAGTAGAAATGTAATACAAACCACAAAGGTAATTTTAAAGTTTCTAGGAGCCACATTTAAAAAGTTAAAGGTGAAATTGCTTTTGATAACATATTTTTGCCAAATACACTGAAAAGACTGTCATTTCAACATGTAATCAATATGAACAATTGAGTTTCCATTTTTTCCATACTAAGCTTTAAAAATCTGTTGTGCATTTTACGCGTAGAGTACATATCAAATTAGATGCAAAATTTTCATCAGAAATACTTGATTCCGATTTTACTTGAAAATGTAGATACACATACCCACGTCGCTCCGTTCTTAAAAGTTTTCCAATAACTGAATTGAGTATCAGTTCTTATATTTAAATCAAACTTATTAAAATAAAATAAAAAATCCATTTCCTCAATTACACTAGCCTCATTTCAAGTGTTCAATAGCCACACATGGGCTTATGGATAACTTATTGGACAGCACAATTTCATACCATCTGGAATATATTTGTAACAGTCTTTTATTTTAAGCATTGCTTATCTTACCAATGAACTGATGCCAATATTCTTAAATAACAATACTGTAGCATTTGATCTTTCCATTCTAGAATACAACACATCATTTGAAGTTGGTAAGAATTTTTTTACCTTTAAAAATATTCTTATCGTAGTGAAACCACCTTCCTCCAGTTGCTGCATCCTCAAAGCTTTGAAATGTGACTGCACTCTGATGCACCGAGTGCAGCTGAAACACCATTAAAAGGAGGATTAATGCCTGACCATACAGGATTGCTCCAAAATAAATCAACAGTCTTATTCAACCTATAATACTGAAACATGTTTCCTCACCCAAAATAAAGCTACTGGGAAAAGCATATGACAATCTGATGCAAGATGAGACAGAAATAAAGAGGAGGAAGAAATTTACGCAGGATCAGCAATTAACATTACTTTGAAATAAAAGGGTTTATTTGAGGAGAAAAAAATTTATACAGCAAAGTGGATAATCTTTCAGTGAGGGATCAACATTTGTTCATTCCCATCTTGATCCGCAGGAAACCCGAAAATCCACAATCCATTTGCATCAAAGGCAGCAAAGATGCTTATCTTGAGAGAAACAGATCCTCCCCATGGAAATTAAACAGGAGTTGAAGACATTTTTTTCTTTGATGGATAACCACTCAAAATGTGTTTCCTTCTATTTTTAATGTAATGTTTAAAATCAAATTAGGGGGGCGCCTGGGTGGCGCAGTCGGTTGAGCCTCCGACTTCAGCCAGGTCACGATCTCGCAGTCCGTGAGTTCGAGCCCCGCGTCGGGCTCTGGGCTGATGGCTCAGAGCCTGGATCCTGTTTCCGATTCTGTGTCTCCCTCTCTCTCTGCCCCTCCCCCGTTCATGCTCTGTCTCTCTCTGTCCCAAAAATAAATAAACGTTGAAAAAAAAATTAAAAAAAAAAAATAAATAAAAAATAAATTAAATAAATAAATAAATAAATAAAAATAAAATCAAATTAGGGGGAAAGTTGTTTATTTCCTTATGTGCTCCCTATACTTCCCTACACATTATTCCTCATCCATCATTCATAACCTTTCTGCCATCACCATCCCCCAGCCTCCCAAGCGGGACAACTGAACGATGTGGTTAACTCTGCTTTTTCCTCACTTGAAGAGGAGTCCATCTCCAAATCCTATTGCCTTTTGTAGAGAGCAAGATGGAATCACTCCTGTCCAGCAGGGGCCTGCATCGGGCAATGATATAAGCGGCTGAGGGTACTAACAACGATGAGCTCTCCCCGAGACCAGCACCGGCTGATGACGCCCCAGAACCGATCAGCAGCAGAAGCAGGGGAGGGGTGCAGGTGCCCAGGACTGATCAAATCCCTTTAAAAGGGGGAGGGCTTTTGCAGTGGTCGGGCCCCGCAGACGTGACCCTCTGCGTCTGAGCGCCTGAAAAGGCAGCTGCCGCCGAAGGCTCCGGCCAAAGAGAACGGAGAGCCTCCACCGCTTGAACAGAAGGAGCGGGAGGGCCGAGCACGGACCCGGCCCGGGGCCTCCTCTCAGCTGCGCGCCCGCACACGGACTTGGCGGCGGCCTCGTTCACTTCCTACCGCCTGTGTTATCTCGATCGTCGTGTGCCTCCTCTTAGGTCCTGCGCCGTGTGCGGGGAAGAGGCCAAGTTAATCACAGCTCCAATGTCACTGGGTCTGGAATCCCGAACCCGCTTTCTCATTACGTTCACCTTGCTTTAGGACTGAGCACAGCTGGTGCTGCGCAAAGACCCAACTCGTGCGTGTGCCTTCATAGTCTCCTTGTGACAATTTTTAGAAGTGCTTTTTCAAAACTTGCCCTTTCTCTCTACTTCAACTGCTACAGCCTTCATTTAAGTTCCCACCATCTCATACTTGGATTAATCTGACTTTGTGGACCTGCACTACTAACTGGGTTAGTCTCAAAAAATAAAGCAATTGACTAATTAATTAAATGAAATCATGCTGTGCCATTCTGTTGTGTAAAAATAACCAGTATCTGGGGGCGTCTGGGTGGCTCAGTCGGTTAAGCGTCAGACTCATGATTTTGGCTCAGATCATCATCTCATGGCTTGTGGGTTTGAGCCCCGCATTGGGCTCCAATGCTGATGGTGTGGGGCCTGCTTGGCATGCTCTCTCTCCCTCTTTCTCTGTCCCTCCCCTGCTCTCTCCCTCTCTCAAAATAAATAAGCTTTAAAAATAAAAGAATAATAAAAAAATAACTCGTATCTGATGAACCTGTCTTCCATCTACCCTCCTAAGCTTCAATGATCATCATTCTTCCTGCCTCCCCTCAAAATGCACATTCGGCCTTCTGGCCACTTTGTTTTTGGCCATTTTCTGAACATCTGCTTTTGCACATGATTTTCCCTCAGTCTCCAATGCCCTTCTAATACTCTTGACAAACTCCAATTCATCCTTCAATACCCAAGATAAATGTCCCCCAATAAAGGAAATTTTCAACTTTTAGTATTTGTGGGCCCTGCTCCTGGGCTCCCAGGAAAGCTATACTGTAACATTTACCAAGGTCAAAATGACTCAGCAAAACCTCAAAGCCTGGGCTCTATTTCTGCCCCGAGTACACACTGTACAATGTCTTTTGTTAAAGAAAATAACCAAAGAGGTACACTCTGAACACAAAAGATAAGAAAAAGTAAGAAACCTCCCTGGGTCCCAGGAGATTAACGTCATATAGCCCTGCGTATACTAGAAGTTAAGATAAGGCCTGAAACTTCCTGAAAAGTTCTTTGTCTAATAATCTCTTTTTAAAAAATTTTATAACTTTTTATGAATATAAAACGTACAGAAGTCTACACCAAATGATCCCTTACTGGAAGCGCTCCCTTCTTTGTGAAGACTGTGTATCCCAGGCAGCTTTCCTCACTTGGACTCGAATAAAATTCTTCCTTTTTTTTTTTTTTTTAAAGAAATTCTAAAAGGTTTGTTCATTTTGCACTGACACCCCTCCTTGGTGAAAGCATCGTAGCCTCCTCTGAGCAGTCTCCATCACACCCTCTTCTGTGGTCCCACAGCACTTTTAAAAAACCCTTTCTCAAATCACACTTGCTTTATAATTCTAGTTTCATGTGTGCTTTTCTCACTAGACTTTGAACGCTGCCAGGTCAAGAATCTAGTTAGTATTCCCAGCACTTGGTGCCATGGCTGGCACACGATTGGCACTCAGTAAATAAGGCACAAATAAATAAATCAGTGGGTGACAAAACACACACGTTATTAGGAGACTAAAAATATAAAATGTCTTTTCCCTGCCTATCCTTTTGCTCTGCACTGCAATCTTATTTGAAACCTGGCTAAATACTATTACTATTTAATACAGAAACTATCTGTAAAGTCAGCAAGCGGAGGTAGGTTGGCATATATTCAACACACACAAATTGCAAATTTCAAATAAAAAAATGTACAATATATGTAATTTCAAATAAAAACAAATTCAAATATATAATTTTAATTTTTTTATGTTTATTTTTGAGAGAGAGAGAGAGAGAGAGAGAGTGTGAGCATGGTAAAGGCAGAGAGGGAGTCACAGATTTTGAAGCAGGCCGTAGGCTCTGAGCTGTCAGCACAGAACCCAACATGGGGCTTGAACCCATGAACTGTGAGATCATGACCTGAGCCAAAGTCAGACGCATAACTGAGTGAGCCACCCAGGTGCCCCCCAAATATATCATTTTAAATAAAATTTCAAATATAAAATCTATCTGTCTACCTATCATACCAGTAGAAGGAAACATGCATAAGAATGAAAATAGACACTGTTCATACACTCAAAAACCTCTAATGATGATCGAGAAATTCCACTTTTGGGTTTATACCCAAAAGAACTGAAAAGGACATCTCAAAAGGTATCTGCACACCCATGTTCATGGCAGCACTATTCACAACAGGCAAAAGGTGGCTGCAAGTCAAGTGTCCACAGACAGGTGAATGGATAAACAAAGTGTGGTCTGATTCAGTCTTAAAAAGAAGGAAATTCTGACACATGCTGCAATATGAGTGAACCTTGACAACACTATGCTAATTGAAATCAGCCAGTCATAAAAAAGACAAATACCGCATGATTCCACTTATATGAGGTACCCAGTAGTCAAATGCATAGAGACAAAGTAAAATGATCCTAGCCAGGAGCTGAAGGAAGGGGAAAATGGGGAGCTACTGTTTAAGTGGTGTAGTTTCAGTTTTGCAAAATGAAAAGTTATAGAGATGAATGGTAGCGCTGGCGACACAACACTATGAGTACACTTAACACTAGTGAGCTGTACACTTAAAAACGGTTAAGACGACAAATCTCACGTTACATGTTTTTTTACCACATTAAAAAAAAAAAAAAAAAAAGAAAAGTGCAAGGAGTCCCAGTCCACCGCTCATAGAGGTCCATGGTCCCAAGGAGGCAGTGTGGTGTGGCCTGTGTGCTCACATCAAACTGTCCCTTTAACTCCACACAAGACCACCAGTCTGACCCTCACCGGATTTATCTGTAGAATCTTCAAATTCCACGAGGAAGGAATACCCGTTATTCCAGACGTGGAGGCAGGTGGTCGGGTCGTAAGAGATGGTGAGCGGCTTTAAGCCAGGATCATAGACACTGTCCCTCCACCGGATGTTGATGGGCGACTGGCGCTCGCCCGCCGGGACCAGGTCCACGCTCTCCCAGAGCGGGTGCACTAGGAGAAAAAGCACAGCGGGGCTATCATCAAGACGTCTGCTATGTGGGATCACACACGAGGCAATTCTAGTTGTGGGGAGTGTGTCAAGGCCCATGGAGTCTACATCTTAGGAATTAGCCACCTGGGGGCTAAACGGACTGATTAAGGCAGAGGACAAAGGCAGCTCAGAGCACCTTGCATGGGCACAGACGTCTGCTGCTTTGTCAGACACAAGCGGCTCAGTCCACCCTCTGATTTCACCCGAACCAAGTGCTACCCGCTCTTGTGGTAACAGTAAGATGCGTGCAGATTAGCACCGTGTGGAAGGAAGGTACCCTTAAATGAGCTTCTTTTCTTTAGTGATAATTTTCTGAGCCCCACTTGCCAAACCAGATATACCTACAAGTATAAATCAATGAAATTTTCAATAATGAGTTATTTCCAACAAAGGAAATGTGGGAAGAAGAAGAATTTTTGCAAAGCAAATGTTGAACCAAGCATTGTAAGTTTTTAACCACTTGGCTGGTAGAAATAAAGACTTGTGTGGCATGCACCTGTAACTTAGCTTGCAGTTTTGAAGATCCCTGGATGATTTATTTACACAATGCAGTATCACAGGCTTCCAACGGAGATGGGGGCAAGAATCTAGGGTTTTGGTACTGAAGAGTCTGATGACTACAGAAGGCATTGATGAAACTGGGGTGGAAAAGGAGTAATTTCTTCTTACTTTGAGATATGCTAACTTTAGGAATAACACTGCTGGTCATTTTACCAGCGAAAAAAATGGTGTTTTGTTTTTGTTTTTTTTTTTTTTTGAGAAGAGCAGAGAATTACAATCTGGGGCAAGCTATGACTAAAACCATAAACAAGTCCAGCAACAAAGGAGGGGGATCCTCTTTTATAGTGGAAAGTAAGTTGGGAAGGTTGTTATAAACAACAAGTCCACTGGAGTAGAATGGGAGCTAGAAGTATAGTGGCTTCTCATTGGCTGAGTTGTGAGTGTTTCTCAATGGCTGGGCTGTTGGTAGGGCAGAAGAGAAATCGTCCTTCCTCAGGCTGGGATAGCAAAATAGTAGTTAAAGTAGTATCCATGTACAAGCTTTACCTCTTCCAGTTGGGTCTGCAACTGGTAAGGAGAGCTCCCCTTGCCAGTCTCCTGACCCCATTCTATATAAAGGTGTCCATGAACAATTTGTCCCACACAGACACAACGCGTCGCTGATGATTATTTTCCTACAAAGAGTCAAGTACCAGGTCTTTCTGGTAAAGTCTCTGATAAATCTCAGTGGACTTCCTGTCACACAGAGCTGCTGAGACATCCATGCATGATGGATAGAACTAAGCCTAATTTGGGGTGCTCCAGTTCTCTGCCCTTTAGAAGCACTATGGATGGGTAGAACCAAGACTAATAGGAAAATCAGAAGAAATATGAATCAAGATAAATCATTACCAAGGAACCTCTGAGCCTCACCCCACCACTAAGGACGAGCCTAAGGATCTCAGAAAGTGGTCAGGTAGCTGCTACTCAGTCAACCCACTGTGTGTATAGCAGGCTCACAGACATATCTTTCTTCATTAAAAAAAAAAAAAAAAAAAAACATACACACAAACCAGAAACTTGCTCCTAGTTTACCTTTACAAAGAAGACATTTGTTTTGCGTGGATAGCTGTTAAAATCTATAAATTCAAAATCCTAGCCTTCTGGGGTTTTGAGGTTTTTTTGGTGGTGGTAGGGGGCACAAAAAAGATATAGAGAGCTCTCCTGAGAGTAGACCAGTGGTTGTCAACAGATGGAACGAGGCTGTCTCTAGAAGACACTTGGCAATGTCTGGAGACATTTTCGGTTGTCACAATTGGAAGAGTGCTACTGACATCTAGTGGATAAAGGCCAGGTATGCAGCGAAACAGCCTACAATGCACAGAATTATATGACCCCCAATGTCAATCAAGTTGAGAAACCGGGGTCTCTGCAAACTCAGGGTATTCTTGTTTTTACTATTTCTTCCTATAAAACAGCACCATCTTATCTCTGGAGAGATCCAAACCCAATGTTCTCATTTACTTTCTGAGTATAAAAGAAATTGTTCCATTAGGAACAAGAATTTTGTTTCAAAAACCTAAAATAAAAAATGCATTTGCCTGGTAAAATATTTCATATAATAATCTAATTAGAATGCGATTTAGAAAGCAACTTGTAGGAGTGCTGACAATACTGACTCCATCTTTGGCCCTCCATCTTGCTCGCTGACCACTCCTGGGGATATGTGTTATGGGCCCCTTAGAGATTAATGTTCATACTTTAGACATGCCAGACTGTTAGAGATAACATAGTCTCTCCTCTCTTCCTGACTCACAGATGGTGCCACCAGGTCTGTTAGATGTCAGCTGCCAATTAGGTGCATGCAAACGCTTTGAAATGCATGTGAACCCTCCGACCTCTGACCACTACAGTGGCCCCCAAGAGTTCCCTCACTCTATAAAATCTGTGGACCAAGGTCCAGACTTTGCAGAGAATAGCTGCTCCTTGTCTGGACTGTCATCCGCCTGATACCCCACAGTAAGTTACTCTGAACAGAACTCTGTAAACTGTACAGAATGGCCTGCTTCATTTTCTGGTCTCAAAGTGCCTTCTCAGTTTGGGGGAAACTTTACTATCCCTCCCCCACCTGGTAACACCACTAAACAGCCCTGATTCAGTTATAGGATGCCTGGCACCACGAGACTTTGCAGCACCTTCCCCTCTGAGATACTCAGACTGTGGCCAAGGAGTTGAGAATTCACTCTTCAAAACCAATTCGTGAGGGTCTCCTGTAAAGACCAGGCAAGAAGGGGACTAACAAGCAGATCCCCAAGACGATCCGTCCTTTCACCCAGACTCGTCCCCACCCCATTCAGGAAATGACCAGAATCTATTCTCACCCATGCAAAAGCCAGCCCCCAAATCCCAGGCCTATTCCTTCATTGCTCTTTTATGACCTTGATGTTCCTATCAATTGATGCCCTTCGGGTCACAAGTTCAGCTTCTGGAAGGTTCTGTCCCCCACAACCTCCTCCTTTGGGGATCCAGACCATCCCCTCAATAGGGGCCCTTGGTTACTGTTGTTTTAGTGAAGCCAGCTTTTCCCAAGGGTTTGTTTTGCAAGATAAATGGTTGTGAAAGGTAAATTCACATTACTTCTTCCTGTGGGGGCCAAGGGCAGGTCACCCAAAATGTGCCACTTTAGCATATTATTTCAAATTAAAGTTACCTAAGAAATAGCCAGGGCAAGAACACTTGGAACCCCCACTGCCTCCAGAAAACTGGAAATAAATCTCCCATTGGAAAGGTACGCTTCCTGCACCAGGAGATAAAGAGACACCCTTATCACCAGAGACAGAAACTCAGTCATGAAGGCTGTATAAGCAACCCTGGTTACTTTTACTGATTTACTACTTCAGCCCAAATTCTCTGTAGAATTCCTAATTGAAGTTCCTGAATAAAACATTTTCTTGGTCCTGCCAATTCTCCACAGACTTATTGTTTCTTTGTCTAAATAGTATAAATGCTGCCTGCTTTGGTCATTTCTTTGGGTGACAACTGTATTGCCATCATGAAGGTGTCACGAATATATCGCTGACGAGCAACAAAGTCCCTTTAGATTCCATGGAGAAAATGTGCTCGGTTTTAGTTCTTATTAATAGGACTAGTCTCGGCTTTGATTTCTTTTGTGCCTGTACCACCCTATGTGTCCAGCCTCAGGAGTGTCCCTCTTTCAACTCCTGAAACACAGGAAGCACGTTCCTGCCTTGGCCCCTCAGTTCCTGCTCCTCCCTCTCCTCAGAAAACACTTTCCCCTCATTCAGCTCAGGGCTAGCTCCTGTTATTGGCTTGTCACCTCTCCAAAAAAACCGTCACCGCCTCACCTCTCTGACTATCCTATTATATGACCCCCCTTTTTTAAAATCATAGCATTCTTATCTTTCCCTTCAAAACACTTATTACACACACGTAATGGTCACTATATGCATATGTGCTTAATTATCTGCCTCTTTCAGTGTTGTACAAACTCCAAGAAGAACTAAAGTCGCATTTAATCACTGCTTGTTCAATGAACACAGAAGATAAAGAGTATTGTTGGGAAGGTTCCAGTCTTCTTTTACCTTTATCCCTATTACTCTACTGATCACATTTTTTTTCTTTAAGGATCTTTCAGGTGTATCTTTTCCTTGCCTTGCCCATGACCAACAGCTGAGTTCAGGCCTCTACACCCTGCACTTTATACATGTCTCTTGGTCTCAACACCCTCTACCATGTTTTGCCATCTACTAGTTTCCCTAAATTTCCACCTTCAACATGTCATTCCTGTGTTAAAGACTGTACGTCAAGTCCTAATTTCTGTGTCCAGTGCCAAGGTTTTCGTATTAGGAACCCACCTCAGTCACCTAATTTCCTTTCTCTTCATTCTTCCCAAACTCTGGTCTTGCCATGCTATTCCAGAACCTTGCCATGCTACTCCCCTTGGTCATTCAAAGGGAGATACACTATAAATGTAAAACACCCACTCAGCTTTGATGATTTAGTACAAAATAGAGAATGCAAACTATCTCAATGATTTTTATATCAATTACAGGTTAGAATGATAATATTTTGGATATAGTGGGTTAAATATTTTAGTAAAATCCATTTCATCTGTATACTATATTTCATCTATTTCCTGTATAGAATTTCACAAATGAACAAATTTATTTTTCTTTCAGTTTTACTAAGATGTAATTGACATGCTATTTGTTCTCCTTTAAATGTGGTTATTATAAAGCATAGAATTCCTTGGAATTACATGGCTCATGTTTGTGGCTCTTGTTATTTATCTACTGGACGTCATTATTCTACACCCTCGTTGGTTTTTTTCTCATGTGCCTTGCCCTGTTACCGGCCTTTGTCTTGAGCTGTGCGATTTTCTCATGTGACTGAAGAGCATCCTAGTAGGCCGAGGGCATAACACAGTGACAGGATACACAGGGACAGGCCCCTCCCATATGATATTGTTATGGATGATCAACAGAATCACAAATTGTCTACTCAAGCACAAGGGCTGTAAAAGGCACTTTGATGCTGAGCCCAGGTAACCACAGCAGACACATGCAATTATCACCACAGGAGACTAAAGCCCACAGTTCCTGGGGGTCAGTTCAAGGCTATTTGTTAGCTTCTTACAGCTGCCGATACCTCTGAGGCCACTGAAATAATTTCAAGGGGCACCTCGCCAGTCCATTGTTACTCAAGATTATTCAAAAGTAGGGGCGCCTGGGTGGCGCAGTCGGTTAAGCGGCCGACTTCAGCCAGGTCACGATCTTGCG